CTTTGGGAACTTTTGGCCCCATCGTCTCCCAAAGGGTTAACCATCACTACACATCTACGCCCAGAACTATTTGTTTGTCTTTATTGACGTTATTGTCGTTCCCTGGCTTCATCTGACAGTTTGGGCTCATTAACTGGATGAGAAACAGTGATACTGAACGACAAACGGACCGATTGGTGGATGAGTCAAAATTTTACCAACGGCCTCATCCTGATTCTGATTGGTTAGCATTGGTTAACTGTTTAGTGAAGCTCTGCTTCTGTTAGATTCAGAGAAACATTTCTCAGTGAACCTGATGTTCTGGTTCTGAAATAACATCTTGGTTTAATAACGGATCCGACTTGATGCTAAGCTTCCAGATGGATCCACTTCTGTCTCATCAGCCCACAGAACATTTCCTCAGACATGTTTGGGATCATCAAGATGTTTGTTGTTAAAAAGGAGACAGGTGTTTGTGTTCAGTTGGGTCAGCAGTGGCTCTGACCTTTGAACTACCTGATGGAGGCAGTTTTTGCCTCAGTCTGTCTTCCATATTGTTGAGTAAAGACCTCTGACCTTAACTGAGGTGATGAGGTCTGCAGAGATTAAAACATTGATCTGATTTCCTCTGGGATCTTCTGGATTAGCCATTAGCTAACGCTGGGTTTTAACCGGTTCTTCTCCAGTCGACCCAAAACTTATTCATCTCCATCTGCAGATCCTTCCTTGTTTTTACAAAACATCACTGATACCAACTTTAAAATATACCAACTATACAAGTTGAGTCATCTTTGCCATCTGTCTCTGTTTTCATATAATTTTCTTTAAATAAGAAAATATCTCATTTATATCAAATAAGGTTTTACTTCCCATCATAATGGGAAATATTTCTATACTGGTTAATATTTATTTACCAGTATAGAAATATTTGCTGTTTCAAATTTCTCCTTGTCTTCATTATTGTTTATTGACTCGGTGTCTCCATGTTCTGACCCGGTTCGTGGTTCTGTCCCGGTTCGTTGTTCTGACCCGGTTCGTTATTCTGACCCGACTCGTGGTTCTGACCCGGTTCTGACCCGACTCGTTGTTCTGACCCGGTTCGTTGTTCTTACCCGGTTCATTGTTCTGACCCGGTTCGTTGTTCTGACCCGGTTCGTTGTTCTGACCCAGTTTGTTGTTCTGACCCGGTTCGTTATTCTGACCCGACTCGTGGTTCTGACCCGGCTCGTCGTCGTTCTCTGCTCGGTGGTTAGTCATGTGATCTTCTCACGCGATGAGGACGGCAGCAGAGTTTCTCATCAGGTTTAAACTCAGAGCTGCTCCGTTTGGTGGCTCTGTGGTTCTGAGCTGTTGATTCCGTTCGAACCTGAGAAACTGTTTCACTTTGATGTGAACGTGTGACATTGAGTAAACAAAGGTGAAATGCATTGTGGTTTCCGCTGCTGAGAGTCAGACATGCTACCATGCTCTCCACAAGCCCTGGCACTCCTGGCAGCCGTACCTGACAGACTCAGAGCAGGACTGTGTTACTGCAGCAGCATGAAGCCATTCAGAAAATATCAACGTCTGACCTTTAGTCTGAGTGTTTATTAAGTTTACTAGCTTTAGTAGTTTTAACCCAGCAGGCAGCCACATGGCCGCCTGCTGGGCTCTGTGGCCTGTTGATGGTGTGTTTCCACTGATGTAACGGAATGGGAGGCGTTTAAAGACTTGAGGGCTTTCAGGTTTTCCTGAACTGTAATGAGGTTCAGTTGCTGGAAAGAGTCGCCACCTGATTCTTTCATAATCTCCATGGCAACCATTCAGCTGTGCTAAACGCCTGGGTGGACGTAGCTCCGCCTTTAAATCCAGCTCCTCCCCACTCGGCTCCTTCAGACTAGCCAGCAGCAATTAGCAAACACCTGCTGGAACTGCTGAGCTCGTTACAGGAGCTGCTGCTCAGAGAACAGTGGTAAAAGGCATAATGGAGGAGCATTGTTGTGATGATGTGCTGAAGGCAAAGTGTTGGAAAGATTAGGAGCTTCTTAAAGAGACAGAGGCCAATTTCAAGGCTTCAAATTTCAAACTAAAATTTCTTTTAAGTCATTTCATATTCGTATCATTTTCAGAACAACTGAAGGTAATAAAATAGCATTAAGTGGATTTTTGGATTCTTTTGGTTGTTTGTAGGATTTCAGTATAAATGAGATCAAAGACCTTCTGGTAGCTGTTTGTTAAAGTTTCTCAGTTATAGTGATGGAGCAGCATCAGTTGATGATCTTCATGTAAATTAATGGTTCAAACCAGAGAACAGTTTTATTAATGACTGTTATAATCATCATAAATAATAACTCTGATGTTTGTACCTTAAATATTCTCATCACTTCTAGAGCTGAAGTGAAAGAGAAGAAACATCTAACAGTAAATTTAACATCTAAAGATTAACTCATCTTAAACTACACATTACAACAACATATTTTAAATATGTTACAGTAAATAAAACTGCATGTTTAGGGTCGTTATCCTAAAGCTGAACTTTCACCACAGCATCAAGTTTTCTTCTGGTGTTCAGCACGACTTGGTTTGGTAATTTCATAAAAACAGTTAATAATTTCATAAAAACTTACCAAGTCGCTGCACCATCTGATTAGCAGAAAATAATTACCAAATATTCTTTAGTTATTGTTTTCTGCCTGGTGACAATCATAAAACAATAACTATACATAAAAGCCTACACAGAATAAACATGTTTCCAAAATATATCAACTTATTAACAAAATACTTCAACCACCAGTTAAAATGCTTTATACAACAAACTCAGTGAGCTGGTAAAACTCAGTTAAACTACTAATAAAAATGGAAGAGTGACCCAAAATAACTAACAAAATGAAAAAAGGAAAAATTAGAAGTAGAACAAATGACTAATAAAATAATGAAAGTATCTTAAAAAGAAGTATAAATACGTTTGTTTCAGAACCAGCTTTTTTTTTTACTTTGTAATGAGGTTAAATTAGCTTTAATTTAATTAATATTCAATTAATTATTAAAAAAAAAGAACAATGAGTAGAAGTTCAAACACTTTAAAATGTGAAGCAGGAGATAAAAATATTATTCTAATATTTTATTTTTAAAAATATCTTAATTTAAAGGAAAGATTCTACCTTTAATTAACTCTTATTTTGTCCGAAGCTGTGAGTCTGTGCTATTTATTTCTACATCTACATTTTAATAACAGGTCGACATGTTTGTCATATTCAGCTTCTAGGCATCACAGATCTGGAACAAACTTCTGTAAAACTGTAAAACAGCCGAAACACTGAGAGCCTTTAAATCTGGAATAAATCAACTGAAACATCATGAATGAAACATTGATCAACATTTTATATGTGTAATTATGGCAAATGGAAAAATGTAATGCTTCAGTTATATATTTTTGTGTTTTATGATGTAAAGCATGTTGACCTGAAATGTAATACACAAATAAAATCTGATTGATTGATTGATTGACTCAGAGACTTTTCTTGGACTAATGTTGTGGATTTTATTAACATATAAATTTATTTACCACAAGCTTCAGTAAGTTGATGTTGATCATGTAAATTGTGTTGCTGTTTTTTTATAAAGTCTCTGTTATTTTTCAGAAAACGATCCGCCTGCAGTCATTTCCACCGTGACGACAGATGAAGTCAGTTATGGACAGATAATCATCAGAGAAACCAGGAAAAGAGGTAAAACTTCTCTAAATACATAAATGAGCACAAATTAATCTTATTATTCAGATCTATAATGTGAGAGAGAAAACAAAAACACAAAATCCTGATGTTGAATAAAACTGGATTCCTCTGAATGGCAGAAAAACTAATTATTTTGTACAGATTTATATTTTCTAAATATAAGCAATGTGCACCAGATTTCTGCTTTTATTATTTATAATAAATGAAGGCATAAGCTTTAAAATAAAAAAACACATCAAAGCTGCTTGAACTGAAGCACCAACAAGCCAAAGCTTGAAAATTAACAAATAAAGAAAAGAACCAGTTATTCTGGAAAATCTACAAATTTACAGATATAAAGCTAAAAAACACAATGAGATTGGATCATAGATTAAGTTTCAATTCATTTATTCATATGGCACCAAGTGATAACTTGTTGTTTCTCTGGGGCTTTAAATAAACTGATGTATTTACATTTACAGTCATTTCAGTTCAGTCTCATAAACTCAGAATCGTTTCCATTCCAGTTGATTCTCCTTACAAACCAAAGCAGTTCAGGTTCAGTTTGGGTTTATTTTTGATTTGATTTCATGTTTTTCTTTTCAGATTACAAACCAGAACCAAAAGTTGTTTATTCCACCCTGAGGTAATCCTCCAGCAGGAAGCTCCACCGGTCTAGTTAAAGCACAGAACCATCAACTCCTGGTGAATAAGTTTTTCTGTCTGAAGAACCAAATGAATGTATTTAATGTTTCATTCTCATGTTTCCAGTCACTGTTTTATTTTAAATGTCTGAACTGTTAAAACCTCAGCAGCTTCAGCCTGTTGAACCAGTTTAACAAGTTTAACCAGTTTAACAAGTTTAACCAGTTTAACCAGTTTAACCTGTGAAACCTGCGGTTCTGCAGCTTGTTGCTAACAAACATCATGTTCCTGTTTCTGTCTGCGGCTCGGCAGTGGAAACTTTTATTTACAGCAGCAGGTGAGAAAAACTAAACCAAAACCGCAGAACAAACCTGTTAAAACAAACAAAATCCCTGAGTGTGTGAAACCAAAGCAGAACCTTCAGGATGTTTATTGATTATATATAAAGAAAATCTGCAATAAACTGCAGTTAATGTTAAATCAGAACACCAGTATTAGCTAAATGCTATGTGAGGTTTATTCCTGTCATAATGAAGTCCAGTTGGTTCGGTTGGTTCTGGTTTCTCATTCAGACCAAAGTTCAGCCATCAGAGGATTTAAACTGAAGATAATCTGCAGGTTGGTGACATCATCAGCTCTGCAGATGCTAAAACATGCTAACCTGAATCATGCTAAACTGATTCAGGTTTAATTTACTGATTAATTCTGATTCGACGAGCTGAAGTTCTTCACTTTTATTCTGCTTGTTTTAATTTGATATATTAAAGTTTTTTGAAAATGTATTTTTACTATAAATGTGTGAAATGTCCCTTTAAAATAAGCAATTGTAAATCAATAATCACAAAATGCAGCTGCTGAAAAATGATCCAAACTTTTTTTTGAACAATTTCATGTTTCATTATTACATAATAATTAAGTGGAAGGAAAATTATGGATTTGAAAATGTTTTTATAAATAAATAATCTGAAAAGTGTGGCATGCATCTGTATCCAGCTTTTTTACCTGAATAAAATGCAGTCCAAACAGCAGCATGAAGTCATTTTATTTATAAAAATAGTTTATCTGAGTCCAGATGTTCAGTTTCTGGTTCCACAGGTTCAGTCGAGAACTAAATGACATGTCAAAGGTCAAAGGTCAGATCTGATGTGTTCCTATGCAGCTCAGCTCTGGTGTTTCCTCTGGTTCTCTGCTAATGTTTCTGATGGCATCAATATATTTATGAAAATGTTTGATTTGAAAATGGAAAAAAGAAAATAAAACAGCTGAGAATTGAAATTTCAGCAAAACTGAATCATAATAAAAGATGGTTAGAAATTAAAATATTTTAA